TCTCTCTATATATATATCGCTCAGCAATTCAGCTCCCACACTAAACACAAAAGCATTGAATTTCCTTTCCTCAGGGGTTTGTAATAAAATGGCATTTGACCACACGCTCCCTCTTGTTCACTCTCTCTCTCCCTCCCTCCCTCCTCCTGCTCTCTCTCTCTCTCTTTTCTCACTTCCAGAGTAATATTGACGGCTCTGCTTAGTCGGTCCCAGGCCCCTCACTCCAGGCCTGTCCTCTTCCTCTCTCTGTTACCGGGTCCCCTTTGTTCCGATTCCCATCTGTCTGGCACCCACAAATATCCCACATATCCCCCCCCCCCGACCCCTGCCATCCCCGCCAACTAAGTTGTTCGTGCTGTTTATAACACTCCTCACCGCGAGACAGGAAGAGTGACTCTGCAGAACCATTTGAAAAATCCGCAATCAGGCCTGAGAATCCCCGCCTCAGCAGGTGCGTGGTGCTCCGCTGTCTGTGGCACGCTGCCTCCTGCCAAGCCTTGTTGTCTTTTGGTTATTTTTCACCCGGCACTTGCTCTCATCTTTTCCTGTGACCCCTTTATTTTAATCTCAATCTTGTCAGCCGTTTCCTCGCTCTTTCTTTGACGTGGCTCCTCTCCCCGTCTCTCCTCTTTGTGTTAGATGTTTCCCCCCATTCGCTTTCCCTGATTGCGATATGTATCTGCTCTTCTCTTGCTCTATTCTTCTCGTCTGCCTGTCTCCCTTTGTCGCTCTCTCTCTCTCTCTCTCTCCACTCTGTCACCCCCCCCACCCAGCGACAATGTTTTGAAGACTGTTCCGTGGGTGTGTGTGTGTATCTACGTGTTTCTGCATGTACGCAAACATATGTGCGCGTCCGTCTCCCTGTGACAGGACGCTGGGACTTCCCCAAGACCCTGTCATCCTGTCTCGAGGCTTCACAGTAGCCCCCTCCCCACTCTCTGCGCCCTGTGCCAATCAAGTTTTGGCAATACACCCAGTCAGAACCTCTGTCAGGGACATCTGTCGCCTGCTCACCTGTTACGCGAGCACAGAGGCGTTAAAACAGCAGCAGCGACCCGCGACCGAGTCGACGGGGTCACTGGAGCCACACGGCGTCCGTCTGGAGCGGACCGGGGGCCCTGCCGTGATGGAACCCAGGTGACCCAGTTGGCGTAGCGTGAAGTATCTTGACGCCACTCGCAGAGACGTCACCTCCAGCCTGTCTCTGAGACGGGAAGCAGGGATGCTGGGCCAACTCAGCTCACAGCTGACTGCAAAACCGGCCCGGCAGCGTTGCCCCTGCCCTGGCTCTCCCGCTCCCTGCCGACTGCCGTAGCTGGCTCTGGCGTGAGCCGTCTGGCCAGACGCTCTCTAGGCAAGGTCACCGTGCTGCCCTCTACGTGCTCTGACTACCAGTAGGTGTGAGGTTACTGCTGGCATGATCTCTGACAGGTTTATGTGCTGCTGGCTCGATCCCCCAGCCTTCAGTCAATCCCGCCCCCCCCATCACTTTCCCACCGGCACCCCCCAGGGCTCATGCCTGAGAGCGTGGCCCGAGGCTGAGGTACACAGAACCGCATCACTTTTTTTTTTCGTTTTCCATGCTCTCTATCGCAGGACCCACCCACGCTAATCCTCCACCGCGTGACGGTGCACTCCTGCTACCTAAGGTACAGCCCGAGATCAGGCCTTTTACCCAGAAACGGATGTGTTTTTGAAAACACTGGGCACATTTTCCATTAATGTAGAACAATTACATTAGCGCAGCAGTGGATCTGTGCTGGGCAAAAGATGTCAGGCTAAGCAAATATAGGGTTTAAGGTTTTATTTACAGAAGCCCCCCCTCCCCGTATGAGTATTCCTAAGAAATACAACATAGATCAAAATATAACAGTATAAATATTTCTTAAAGCACTACACACTTAAAAATAGAATTTCCTTTGTACAGTAGCCTGCAGCTGGGCTTAGAGCTGACGCCACATTAATAATTAGGAGTAATTAGTCAGCAGTGACAGATTGTGGTCACATGACCACTTCCCATATTAATAAAGAGGAATTACTCACTCGTCCAATGAGCACGGGTTCAGGGCCGCTGTACTCCTCGATTACAAAGAACTGATTCCAGATCCAGCTACGTCTGCTCCGTGACCGGGTCTCCTCCACCTCCTGGCTCCTTGCCCCAGACTCCGCCTCCTGGAACACCAAGCCCCCCTCATCGTCGCCTGGCCCAGAATCGGACGTGACCCCGCTGTATGCCTTCTCCCCATGGACGGACTGGTCTGGGATGGGATCCGGTCGGAGTTTTAGGATGTGGCTGATGTCTGGTTGTACCCCTTGGTTTGGAGAAGAGGCTGCTTCTTGTCCGTCTGTGTGAACGTCGCTGGTGCTGCTTTTCTGACTCAGATATTTCTCTGCTCTTGGTTCCAAAGATAATCCTGACTGAAGAGTGGTTCCCATTTGGAATAGGTTGGACTCGCCATCTTGGATAATTGAATCTACGTTTTCAATAAACGGGCTTCTCTCGGTATCAGGAAGCCCCCTGCTTTGGCCCATTAGCGTGGTGCGAACAGTAAAATGCTTGTCATGCCACTCTGCGACACCCTTATCGACACCCTTATCGAGATTCGCGACTAGGCTAGGTGGGTGTGCAGTTTGATCTCTCACACTGGGCAAACCCAGAGAGGCAGGTCTTTCTTGAGCTTTCCCTGTAGAAACGCTGGCTGCTAATTGGCTGCGATTTGTACCAACCAGATCTAGCTTCCTGCTCCTTCCAAAAGGGACCACACCCTCAACACTCCCTTTCTGTAGCTGTGTGATTGAAATCGGGTCTGAGTTCACTTTCGGCCCAGGTTTCTGAGGACCGCGGGTCTGTGTCAGGTTTGATACTCTGGGTGAATTCAACAAAACTCCTCTTCCCTGAGCTGCTGCAGTTTGAACCTCTGGATCTGCTTTCGGCCTCGATTTAATGAGTGGCTTGAGTCTGGTTTTATTGGAAAGAAGACTAAGGTCCACTCTGTGATGTAACACATGGCTCTTCTCTACTCTCTCTTCTTTGGTTTTTAACTCAGGACTTTTTGTGTTGTTCCTCGTTTCTTTTGAGCTCAAATTGGATCCAACATCCATGGACACGGCAACGGTTAAATTAGGGTTACAAACCAACCTCCCCTCCCATTTTGAAACAGATTTAGACTTATCTGTATGAGTCTGGATTTCTTTTCCACCTGACACTGGAGTCACAGAGTTGCTCTGAGTTGTTCTTGGATGAGAAGCCAACTTAGTATCAACGCCAAGATCATGTGGAAGGAAACCCATGAGCTTCGCCAGCAGAGGTGTCGTCTTGTCAAGACCTGAATCCCGTTGGCTGACTGCCAGCTTTTCTCCATTGGCTGCAGCATAAGCACCCAACCCTCTTCTCCTGATCACCTTGACGGAGACCTCTCCCATAAGGACCGCCCACATGCAGAGGGTAGCCAATAGGAGCATGACTCGGTTTCCCATGATGACTGGCAGGGGCTTTCGTTTGAAAAGTTAGTTAAAATGACAGATGTGGTGAGACTCACAATCAAGGCAAAATATTTGTTCTCTTGATTTCTTCATTCTCCCGTCTTAAGCCTAAGAGCTGTCCTGTCTTGTTTTCCTTCCCTTCTCCGTTACTCCCCCATCGGGGACTGAACAGCCTGCGAGAACAGAAGAAAAACACAATTAGTACAACTTTCACTGCAAATCCTTAATTAAATGAGCAGCAATGGTGCAAGACATACAGGGAGATCCTAAGACATTCATCAACAGATTGGACCACAAAATCCAATGAGGGCCTCAAGGATCCAACAGCAGTAATTTTTCATATGAATCCCAGAGTCAGTCATCAGTGGTAACTTCTGTAGGAAAGTTTCTCCTCTGCTTACATCCTATAGTGTTCATGGTTTTGGGTTATGCTTTTACCGAGTTAGTCAGTTGGACCCTTATTGGGGGTGTCCTGTGTGGATTCAGTTGGAAGCTCACTGGAACTGTACTGTTTGCATGCATCCAGAGGTATTTCAGGGTGACTGTAAGTGGGCTATGGTGGACAACAACACCCAGCATGTAAGTAACTAGCCTGTAGCTGGCACGGGTTGAGTTTAGCACCCCAGTAAGTCAACCAGAAGCGTTTAATGGTTTTGATTCTTCAGTGCGCACCATGTAGAGCCTTGTCTCAGCATCATGTAGACATTCAGATATGTGTTCTAGAAGCCCATCTAGGCTCTATTGTGGACCAGTGACTGGTGTGGGGATGTTCTGTCTGAGGTGTCATGCAGAGACCTGAGAACTGCTGTAGGCCTGATTACTCCTGGTGGACACCCTCTCTCTCTCACTGTCTCAGTTCCCTGACCCATTACTCTGCCTCTGCTAACTGCATCACCTATCCCCATCTCTCTGGCTTGTCCCCATCTCTCTCTCCTGTCCTTGCCTTCCTCTTTATTCCCTGCCTCTCTCCTGTCCCTCCATCTCTCTCTAGTTCCCATCCTTCTCCCAAGTCCCCGTCTCTATCTTCCCTGTAGTCTCAACCTCCCCCTTTTTTTCCTCATATCTATTCTCTCCTCTTCAAGCACTTGTACTGACAATATTGCTTTATTTTTAAAATGGGTCCTCAACTCTCCTCCACTCCTTCTGCTGCACCACTTAGCTAAAGGGACTGGATGGTGGGGGGGGGCCCAAACGGCTTTGCTCCCTCTGTTACCTTGATCCCCTCCTGTGCTGCACTCTTTGAACACCAATTTGCCAATCAATTCGGACCACAAGATGGGTAATCGGTTGAGGGGATGTTAGGGCACCTAACTAAACCCACAGCTGTTGTATCTCAGCTCTTCTGCTGTCCAACAGTTTGATTCACAAATTCAAAATTGCTGGAAACACTTCAACCTTCCACACTGTCATTCTGCTGTTTAATCCCCCCACCCCCGCCACGAGGAGCTTCTAGGACATTATTTGAGGGGGGGGGCATAGGAAGGGCCATACAGAGAGGCCTTATCATTAGCCAATGACACTTTTTTTAATCGATTACTGACAGGGGAGGGGGCACTATGAGGGCCAATCAGGTTTTAGTTGGGGCCAGTGGCCCTGTGGCCCTGCCCCTCTATATATCCCTGACCCCCATGAAATAAAACACCTACAGAGTACCTCTCTACTGTTCTGTTTGTCTTGCTGGTGTTTGGGATACATTTCCTGACCCACACCTGACAGCAAGCTCTTCAGTGTCCAGACACTCTTAGAAATTACCACGGCGTTCCTCCAAGTAGGATCTTAGGAACATGAGTCAACGAGGAGAGAATAACACCCCCCCCCCCCCCCAGTGGAACGGTGAGCGTGGGTGTAGGCAGAGTGACGAGGAAGAGAGCAGGATGCTGAGCATCTGTAGACAATCAACTGCCATTCCAACTGAAGGAATGATCGTCTCCACTGACGGGAACCAAACATTTTCACGTTTTGTCTGCAGTGAGTTGACAGACGCTGAAAGTTTCTTACTGAACTGATTAATTGGAGGCATAAATATCTTAATTAATTTTTCTCTTCCTGACTGGGACCCAAACGATTTGGTTCGTTAGCATTTGAGGCCGATCTCCGCCATCGATCTAAGAGCCCAAAGCGTTGAGGGCTGTCACCCAACCTAACGAGACTGAAAATTTTAATTACGCTCACTCATCCCTCACTTCCCTACTTTTCCATTCTTCCTTCCTTTTGGACGTGCTGTTCCCCACTACCGTACGAAACTTTCTTTTAACTTCTTTGCATTCTGTCTTCGCCCCTCTCAAAAGCGTAAACGATGCCTTCGGAGTGAAGGGCAAATCAGCAAAAATCAACACAGGGGGAGGGAATTGTTTTAAGGAACCGTGGGAGGGAGTGGAAGAGCAGGAAGTTGGCGCAGGCAGCCGGAATCTCCCGCAGAGCTCGACTCCAAAAAAAAATAAAACTGAATGCCGTCTTCCAAATCTAAGATTTCACACACAGCAATGTGGAACTAAAAAGGCAAAATTGAGGCATTTGAAATTTAGTGACTGGACTGTGACTTTGGACTTTATCAATTCCCCACCCTAAAAATAGCCTAGTTTTATAAAGGGAGGCGATATTTCAGAAATTTCCTGCTCTTTATACATTTGCATGTTTGTCTTCGCCACATAATCTTCACCGTCTCCTCCATCATCTCACACATTTAACTGATACGAGGCGAAGATCTGGTTGGAGACCGAGCAGCTACTGGAATCCCGCCAGCGAATCCCCTGCTTTTGGATAATGAGCAAAGCGGCTTGTGATACATTGTGGGTTTTTATAACACAGCGGCATCTAAATTTAGTAAATAAGTCTTACTGTTCCAGTCTCGTAGTTAAAGAAAAAAATTCATTTTCTAGGAAATCTACAGCATATTTATAATACTTATTGCTGGGATGGGATTTTAGAGATTGATATTATAATATATAGGGAAAAAAAAAATCACATATGATTTTGGTGACCTAAATATGTATTAATTGCAGTTAACTAATCTTCGCAGCTTGTGCCTGTGCGTAGCAAACAGAAACGTTAGATGCTTTACAATCAGCAGCCTTTTCTCGGATTTGTAGGCTCCGCTGGGACCTAAGGCCGGCGGCTAACTAGAAGACCGAATTTTACACTTTTCAGGATGGCAGCATAAATCCGGCAGGCTTTACCGGGGCCTGCTTTTTGGAATATGTCCATTTTAACGTCGAGTGGCAATTCTCAGCACATTATTAGCATAATGCTAATAGCCCCTTACATGTTCAAGCATTTAATAATGAGTTAAACGTATACACCCGACAAGTCATGCGCGGTAATTCGGCGCTGCGCTTTTCCACGTTACCGTCTCGAGGGAAAGGCTCGGTACTGTGTTACGATACAATGCAGTCTGATCTCTGTCCTCACAAGCGCAGGCGCGCTTCTCTCCTGCTCGCTCGCACCTCGTGCTCGTAGCACTCCGGAAGACACCCCTTCATTTGCATACACAAGCTAACCTCCCCAACCTCCACTCCGCAGTTAACCTCCGAAGCCGGCGGGTCCTCTTCTGATCAAAGACTGCCTGCGATCAGAAGCAGGGGTGTTTATGCAAAGGCCCGAGTGCATCGACGTCGGGATGGAACAGCCAGAGGTAACTCTTGCCATTTTGTTCCCCCGTCTGTGTTTCAAGGGCATTTGAGCAGGGAGTGGAACCTGCCCAACAAGCTAATATCTCATAATAAAACCGTACATGAACCATGGAGGCTGGCCCTGACATCTGCTAACATTTCAAAGGATTTTCACTGAGACATTTAGACACAAACTTTGTGGTAATAGCTGAAAGAGAACCTATCTGTTGACTTTCCCTCAGTTATATGATATTTATTGCTTATACTTAAACATCCCAAACAGCCCTAACCTTCCCAAGATCATGCCCCTCCCACCTCTGTGAGCACACGCTGGGCTGACCTCTCCCATCACCCAAACCACGCAGGGTAACTTCTTTAGCGTCGGGCCTAAATCGAGTTACCTGGCTCCTCATCTCGTAAAGCTATCAAGCTCGGGCGAACAGGCGATTTGGAACAGCCAATCGAATCAAGCGGGACGTCTTTGGGATTCGCGGGGGAAAATACGGCCGCCTCAGCAGAAACCAGCGCCCCCCTCGGGGGCTGGCGGTAACGAGGAAAAGTTCCGCGGGGTAATTACCCGCATGTTTCATCTCACCGGGCTGGCCGATGGTGGAGGGACTGTTCTGCGTTTGTTTAGCTGTCTGTCAGCGCAAGGCACGGCGTTGTGTTCTCTGGCGGACTAAGATCCAACTGATTAGATATAATTTCCTTAATTGTACTGTAAGTGCCGCTTCCTGGACATTTCACGCCTGCCGCTTCTTAGCATTCAGGCTGCTGCTAGTCTTGTGTAGAGCAGCACAACATGCTTGTGTTATCCCGATGTATCATCAGTATCAACGTTGTCGTAACTAATTTGCCCTTTTCACAGGCTGACTTACAGTGCGGCTAGACTGTTCATTTTTTCATGCTCTCCCCCTTCAACAAAGCACCCCGCCCAGATTCCAACATTTACATTTCATTTATTACCAGCTGCTCCTATCCAAAGTGACATGGATAGTGAGAGAACAGGATCAACCAGCCCACAGAGCATTCGCTGACCAATGCGAACATGACTAACCTTGGGATTCGAACCCATGACGTACCGATCACAGACATGGCATCAAAACCTGCTGAGCCACACAGTACCCCCCCCGCAACACCTGCAGGAGTGTAGCTGGTGCCTCAAGCGGAGCTGAATTTCAAACGGGGCATTAAGGGAGACGTGCTCTGCTCAAGGGCAGAGAGGGGGTGTCAGATCCAGAGCGCGGGCGCTTAAAATCCTGCGGCGCTGTTAGCTCTGAGAGGGCGGGAGTCCTGATCCACATTCCTCACAAGTAGGGGCACTTACACCTCCCCTGGGCAGCCTCACCCAATCCGTCAGCTTGTTCCATTCCACCGCGAGCCTTCTGCTAATAAAGGGTATGATGATTGGTTAATTGCCTTTATGCACAGATAATTACTTGAATCAGGCTTAACTCGAACACGTGAAATATAATCTATTCCCTGTTTTAGACGATGCCTCTCTACTTTACTGGTTATAGGTTCTTACTTTTTTACTGGTCACCAGTTCTCTGCTCCAATCACTG